ATTTTTATGCTTTTAAATTAGTTAAATATTATAAATTATTTATAATAATTTACTAAAAATTTTAATAATAAACTATTTTATATGTAACTTACATTGTAACTTACAACGTAACTTACATTTGCCCAACCCTATTAACTGTACGAGATTTCTATTTATCCATGAATTACCTGATTTAACAAGGTGCAATTCAGGATGCCAGCTCACGTTTCATCGTTCTAAAACACTAGAGTAATTTCCCTCTATAATAACATAACTGTATTATTTATTTAAAAAGCTCTTTATTGATTATGATAAGTGTTTTGTTTAGCTTTTCAACGTCAATTCTGCGCTTAAGAGCAAAACTTTATTAATCAGTTTACCTTTCAAGTATCAAATAAACCGATATACGCAGAATTATTTATTTTTATGTATATTTAAAATGGATTTAAATAAATATTTTACTATAATATAAATAATTTCGTTTAGACGTACGGCAAAAATATTAATAATTAAAAGCGTGAAGAATTACACATTATACGTGTAAGTCTTGGATAATTTTCATCTCTCTTTGGCAATTCGAAATAGTTACTAATAATCTTCTATCATTCAAATTTCTTCTTTGATCTCGATTTCCGCGTTTAAACTGCATTTGACACTCTTGAAAATGAATTTATTTTTATTTCTATTACTAACATGTTGCAGTTGTTTGTTACAACATTTTGCGATATTAGAATAACAAAAATTTCTTACTGAAATTGATTTCACACTTCACTTTCAATATTAAAGAATATAAGTAATAATTTTGATAATAAAGAATAGACCATAAAAATAGGCTGTCTGTATTGGGAATATTGACTTATTTAAAGGGCATACGATATTAAAATTTATTTCATCTTGTTTACAACAGGATACTTGTTGTTTATCACAGCATGATTACGGTTTGAACTTCACGATTCGATGATGTAAATGAAGAAATTTCAATCAAAATTTGGTATTAATCACTGGGAATCAAGATTTGTGACACGTAGAACTTGATTATAATAAGCTTTAACAATGAATACAATAATTAAGTTAAAAAGGATGACACAACGTTAATTGGATAACATATTTGTAATCAATGAATGCATTGTAAATGAAATATGATATTATTAAGCTTTTTTAAGTTTGAGAAAATACCATACTGTCATTATTTATACGATGAATAATTCATATAATATTTATCAGATTATTGAGAGCATCAATAAATTTTTTTTTCAATTTATTTAGTCGAGTTAGTCATGTACTTTGTTCTGTTTTTTATCGGCAATTTATATTATCTGTCTGTTATTATTATTGTTTATAATGTGAAAATTGGCTAAGAAAAAAATAATTTTTTCACAAAGAGTAATAAGGCATAAAATTTTAAAAATAACCTGGCAACCCGGCTTTTAATTTTATTTTCAAAAATTTTATATATAAAAAGTTCACCCGGATAGTAAACATAGTCAAAACTTTTTTCAAAATTTTGCCAAATTTGACCCGGCCGGGTTATAAGAACCAATTAATTTTATTTATTTCCTATAACATAAAGTTGATATGATCATTTTTATTTATAAAAGCATCTCAGAATCTTCGCGTCTCAATTTTGATAATATTTCTACTTGTGTTAGTAAAATCTTCAGGTTTAACATAAATAAAAAGAAATTAAAATTCAAATTTCTATATTAGGAACTCAAAAGATTATTTAACAACAAACAAAGTTGAAGGCTTTTACAATATTTGAAAGACGATAACTACTGCAGCTATTGTAATTATTGTAGCCATTGTTATTATTACAGCCATTGTTGATTAGACATACCGTATACTTATGAAGCTAGAGCTTGCAATAAAGTAAGTTTTTTTAATGTCAATGAACTAAGATCCACTTTAAAATATGCAAACTTTAAAAGCTAATTTCTTTTTTTTTTTTTAGCTTAAAACATATTACCGTATTTTTTGGCAAATAGTACCCTCTTTTTAGTGTACCCCCCACGATTTGTACCTGGGATTAATCAAGTATTTATTACAAACATTATTGTAAAAGACCCGGGTATATCTAGGATGTAATTTATATAGTGCATGACTTCTTTTATGTCTTTTTTTTCAATTTTGTTATAATTCTATTAAATAATTGGTCAATTAAAGTATTCACCTTACATAAACTCCCCATATAAAATACCCGCCACCTGACAAAGTACCCACTGGGTACTAATCAAGATTTTGCTCCTAGGAATGTAAGAGACCCGGGGTACTATTTGCCGAAAAATACGGTAATGGAATGCTTATTCTGACTGCATTTGTGTAATTATGTTAGTTAGAATTTCATTTAAACTTTATTTTTCTTATGCTAGTTTTGAAAACTTAAAATTATGTGAATTTCTTATTTTAATTAGGTGCTCATATAGATTTTTGTGTAGATGTTCATGTAGTTAAAAAACATTAAGTAAAGGTATAATAAATATGCATTTATTTTAATATTATGTTGACTTCAATATCAATTTTAAATTATTTCTCAGTTCTTGTTTATGTTTCGCACCATTTTTCAATTTATGTGATTATAAGTTATATATATCATTTGTAAATTAAAAAATAACATATACTACTTACAATCGGTATAGTTTTGCAAAATATAACTTTAAATTTGTACATGAATTTTTTTTTTTTAAAAAAAACAAATAAAATAGAATGGGAAATTCTATTTTGACCCGGGTCATTTTAACCTGTCATGTGATCATGTGGCCAGTGTGGCTTGAAATGGGCTCTAAAGCCATCAAACTCCGAGTTACGTGATTGATACTTTCATTCTAGCCAATAAAATCACAGTATTATGTAGGTTCAAATGAACCCGAGTTGAACCAAAATTGGTTTAAGGTGAACCTGAATTCAGGTTTAACTTGTATTCAAATTTAGTACTCTAAATTAACCCGATTTAGGTTCAGGTGAACCATAATTGGTTTAAGTTGAACCCGAATTCAGTTCATCAAATTTAATACTCTAAATTAACCCGATTTAGGTTTAGGTGGTTTAAGTTGAACCCGAATTCAGTTCAACTTGTATTCGAATTTAGTATTCTAAATTAACCCAATTTAGATTTCGGATTTGGTCCAGCAATTGCCCAATTTAGGTCTAAATTGGTCCGATTTGAATCAACTCAAGCAATTAAAACGAAAAATTATTTAGATAATTATGAAATCTCGAATTATTAGTTAATGTATACGTACAAATTAATTGCTTACAGTATTCATACATATATATGTAAGCCCTCCAAATAATATAGCTATAGCAGTTGTATTTTAAGAAGGGTAGAACTAGCGATTTTGGGCTAAAACTAACTAAACTATCAAATTAAACTAACTACTAATCCACTCTTTGATTCTAAGGCATCTAAAACCTTAAGGTGGAAGGTTTCGGAAGAGGCGTGGAAAGATTTGGTTCGGGTTTTAAAGTTCTTCGGGCCTTGTATTGTTGTTTCTGGAAATTGGATAAGTTTTCCTTATTTAAACTAGCAATTTTAGCTTAATAATACCTTTGATATTATTACTAACACTGCTTTTCTTTTCTATTTCGAATGTATTGTTTCGCTCAGAGTCACGTGTGATGAAATCACGATTTCGAGTGGCGATCGGTAATTTAATTTAGTCTGTGATTGTCTATTTGCATCATGGGTAATTAATATCAGGATCAGATCTTCGATTTTACCGATGATGTCACAAGATCTGTATATTACGGGTAATTTGATGATCGGTCTTATTGTTCAATTTAAAAGTAAGAACAATGGGTCACAGGTATGGATATAGAGATAATGCAGTAAGGTTCTTCTGCTTCTCTTTCTTTTTGGATGTGATAACAATTCCTATACTAATATCGGTTATTATAAGCGATGTTCAAACTCTATATTAGTAACAAGGTATTTTAAATTGTAACTATTAATTTAATTGGTAAGTAACTTTAGAGAAAAAGGCGGTAACTTAGAGTGAGCACTTCTACTCGAATTTCGAAGGCTCCAACTCTATCTTAACGAAGTTTACAATAAAACCGATTTTCTAACAAGGTATCGGGTCAGGAAAGTATTTTATCAATTGGTTTTACTAAGAACGTTTTTGGGTAAAAGGGAAACAATATTTTTAAGGAACAAACTTCTACTATAATTATTTCGAAGTTATAACTCTACTGAGTTGTTCTTTTATTAAAGCAAAAAGTGAGCACTTTTATAGCTTTCGTGTCTTAAGAGATACAACAGGTTTTTACATTGTTATACCGGTACTTCTGGATACCTGAACATTATTAAGGGTGGCGTAAAGTTCAAATGTTCAAATGTTCAGCTATTTGAACTTACCCATATTCAAATGTTCAGATATTTGAACTTACACACGTTCAAATGTTCAAATATTCAATTATCCATAAACATTCTAAATAAGGTAAGGATGTTTGGTTACAATTTCTAAATCTAACCGGCTATACTAATCTAATGCTAAGTTTCTTTACTTAAAAAAGGCAACTTAAAAGACTAATACAGTAATACGAATGATATGAAGAAGTAGAAAAAGAAAGAAAAAAACAAATGATAATACTAATATATAAAAAAAAAATAGCTAAGGGTTTCCGAACACCCCTCACAATGTACACGTATACAAATGAAACACATAGCATTAAATACAATATTATAAGAAAAATAAATCAGCAAATTCAATCCAAATATTATTCACTATATTATGCTATTTGAAAATGGATCTGGAAATGTATATTGGCAAAGTATCTTAATATTTGTGCAATTACAGGCATTCTATCTAAATTGAGACAAAAAAACAAACATGTAGTTTAGTATTCTTTAAAGGTGAAATATAAACATATGCAATTATAAAAAACTTACATTATGACAAGTTAAAGAAGTTATAGTTTAAACCATTACAAGTTATTATTATCACTAATATAAAAAAAGATTAAAATATGTTAAGGTCTATATATAATAAAGCATTATAATATTATTTACCTTGTTTGGACAGCTTCTAGAGTTGGTCCAGTACTTCTACGAATACTATATTCTTTTTTTTTTTTGGTAACATGTTCAGCACCTGTATTTTTGCACTTAGTGCCTTTTGACCTTCCTTTTGTTTTAGCAATAAGGGGATCGCTAATATCTTCTTGCAGTAATGGATATTTACTGTTTAATTGTTCTACAAAAAGTGCCAACATATTATTTATTTCAACATGACCTACACGGTTTGATATAGCTTCAATATCTTTAAGTAAATCTGAAGTATTTCAATATTGATTATTAGATACATCATGTATTCTGCAATTGGGCTTATTTGTAAATTCATAGAGATCAGGGCTACCGAATAATTGATTGTGAAGGCAATTAATTGCAATTATTTAATCTCAATTAATTGATTGGTGGCGCAGCCACAA